AGAATTTCATTTATTTTAAGAAAATCTTTATTTCGGCTTGTTTATTTCGATTTTCCAATTTTTTTCAAGACTCCTTCATTACAAAAATTCAATAAAAGTGTTTATTAGAAATTTGTTTCAAAATTCCTTTTTCGGGAATTTGAAATTTGAATTTCTTCATTATTTTTTTCCTCTCAGATCGTGAGGGAGAAACAAAGCGTTCTCCAAGTAATTTATGAATTATTTAATAATTAAACAAAAAATATTAAAAAACAGAACTGTTTAGAAGCATAAAAAGTAACGCCAAATGGGTCAAAATCTAGTTTATTTTATGAAAATCAGAATTTAGATGCTAGTTTAATTCGATTTGATAATTATTTTCTCTCATTAAAAAAATTTCAATAAAATTGGAAGTAATTTATGATTTATTTAATAATAAGACAAAAAAAGTTCAAAAATAAAATGTTTCATTATATAGTTTCAATTTTTTTGAGGTACAAAAATTTGAATTTCATTTCCTTTGGGATTGCGAGAGAAAAACAAAGCTTTCTCCAAGTAATTTACAATTTATTTAATTAAAAAAAAAAAAAAAAACAAAAAATGTTAAAAAAATAAAAACGTTTAGAAACGCCTTACCTGACACTTAGTGTGTGCGTTGCTGCCTCAGTGGGCTTAAAATTGACCTTAAATCTGGCATTTCCTTCACTCTGGACAAAATTGGGCACATTTCTGCCCCCCACAGCAACAATAATTTCCAAATTTCCAGCCCCAGCTTGTGAGGCATTGATACTAAAAGAGACAGGTTTTCCAACAACACCGTCGGTGATATCAGTCACAGTGACTCTATTAGCGTCATAAGCCTTAATTAAAAATGGACTTCCTTCAATATGACCAGTGGGAAGCCTCACTTCAACACTGTGGTCACCCACATCGATGGGAGTGAACGAAATATCAAATTTCCCCGGAGACCCAGCCTGCGGTATAATCTGTAACAAAACCCCTGAAACTTTCCATTTTCCTGAAAAAACCCCCAAACCTGCGTTGGGAGCGACCTTCGCGCTGGCCCCAAAATCTCCACAATGGGGGGAGTTGGACTTTCCACAACCAAAGTGCAAACACGCCCCACTGAAACTTTATCCAAGGCTTCAGGCCCGATTATTTTCGCAGCCGGGGCCACATTGCACTTGAAAGGACTTCCAGGGACGTCCTGTCCGTTGAATCGTAAGTCCACGGAATGCACGGAGGCTTCGCGTGGGGTGAACGAAATGGCGTAAGTGTGGGGCCCTTGGGCTTGGGCTGACGTGGGCACCCGGCCCCCATTTACCGTTACTTCGAGGTTGCCAGGGCCGGCTTGGCTCGTTTCCACTAAAATCGCCGATTTAGTCAAAGAACAGGACAAATAGTCCGGTCGAAATAGACATTTCAAATAACTAAAATTCCGATTTAAAAGTTTTTCACATCGGGAATTGAATTAAGGAAGCAACTCCCAAAATCTTTCAATTTTTTTGTTTAATTTTGATTTTTTAATTGCAATCACTCAAATTTTTAAAATTACGAAAAAAATGGTGTTTATTGGTGATTTTCTTTGGATTAAAAGAGAAAAAAAGGCGGCTGAAGTTTCTTGAAATATTTTTTACAGAATTATTGTGTTTTCTTTTGTGGAAATTTCTTTCTATTTTTGAATTAAGGAAGCAGCTATCGAAATGAAATTTTTTGTTTGCTTAATCTTTGATGTTTTTTTTTTATTGTAGTTTATGAAAAAAAATAGGAAAGTTTTTTATTCACAATTGTTATTGTAGAAAGAGATAAGAAAATTAAAGAGTTTTTTTTTTTAATTATTTATAAAATTACAAACAAAATGGTCTTATTTATTACTTAGTTTAAATATTTCAAAGGTGATTTTTTGGGTTAAAATAGAAAAAATGAAGGTTAAAGTTATTAATTATTTTAATAATTTGTTGAGATAAATTCACAAAATGTTTAAACTTTTTTGTTTAATTTGCAATCAATAAAAAAAAAGAAAGCACAGTTTTTACAACTGTTTAAAGTAAATTTTTGGAAACCAAACAGTTTTTTAAAATTACGAAAAAAGTGGTATTGGTGATTTTCTTTGGGTGCTAAAAAAGTTATTCGGGGACAAAGGTCAAAATTTGACGTTTTTCAGATTTTTTTCGAAAACGGTAAGTTTTATCAAAAAAGTAGCCCAGACAAAAATTATAGATCTTGAAATTATCTACAAAAATGGTCCTTATACTTTTTTTCTAAGAATCACCATTCCTGAGATATCGCGATTCTAAAAGTTGAAGGAGTCACATTCTACATGATATGCACATACAGAGTGCGCCAGAATTCGCGCCCTAAAGAAAAATGCCATGTAGGGTAAGGTACCAGGAACATGGAAAAAAAGTTATAAGAGTTTAAATTTTGCACTTTGACTCTATTTATTTCTGTAGGATAAATAATTTTCCAAGTTTTTTTGCTACAGGCTATTAGAAGAGAAAACAAGGAAGCTGTATTCTAAATTATAACTCTGTTTAATGTTATTTGTGGCTTTTGTTGACAAAAGTTTTGTTCCTTCACTAAATAATTGTAAAAAACATATACAAAATCATCACTATTATTAAATAGACATAAAAAATGTCAAATGTCAAAAAATAAATGTCAAATTTTTTTGACAGAATTTTTTAAACATTTTTTCCATGTTTCTGGTACCTTATCACTTGAAATTATTCTTCGACTTCATTAAACTTATAAATATCTCGATTCCATTAGAATTAAAAAGAATTTATTTGGTAATACATACAGGATGTTCAAAAAATCGCACATTTTTTTGAAAGGGAGTAATTGGGTAGTCCCCAGAGTACTGCAAAAATTTTAAAAAAATTCTGTCAAAATTTTTTTGACATTTGACATTTTTTTATGTCTATTTAATAATACTGATGCCCTTGTATATGTTTTTTTATAATTATTTAATAAAGGTACAAAAATTTTGTCAATAAAAACCATAAATAACATTAAACAGAGATACAGTTTAGGATACAGCTTCTTTGTTTTCGCTTCTAATAGCCTGTAGCAAAAAAACGTGGAAAATTATTTTTCCTACAGAAATAAATAAGAGTCAAAGTGCAAAATTTTTATAGATAGATTTTTTTTAATTTTTTTCTATGTTCCTGGTACCTTACCATGGCACTTGTCTTTGGGGCGCGAGTTCTGGCGCACTCTGTATGTGCATATCATGTAGAACGTTACTCCTTCAACTTTTAAAATCGCGATATCTCAGGAATGGTGATTCTTAGAAAAAAAGTATAAAGACCATTTTTGTAGATAATTTTAAGATCTATAATTTTTGTCTGGGCTACTTTTTTGATAAAACTTACCGTTTTTGAAAAAAAATTAAAAAACCTCAAATTTTGACTTTTGACCCCGAATAACTTTTTTAGCACACATGTGATCGATGGGGACTTTTGACACTTTATTTCTAATGGTGTCCAAGGTCTCCACCAAAATTTAGCTCTATCGGAATTTTCGTTATTTGACCACTATTTTTATGACTAAGGCTCGAATTATATGCACGAAAAGATCGTAAAATATGCGCATATATATGCACGTATTTTCACAAAAATATGCACAAAATATTAAGAAATATGCTCCAAGTATGCATCGATATGCAAAATTTTAAACAATAAATAGTCAAACATTTTTTGCTGAAAGTATTTATTTTTTGAAAAAACTAATTGATGAATTATAAGGTTCTATAAAAATGTGATGTTTTATCAAAAATAAAATTTTTCGAAATTTTTGTTATTT